ACAGCATCATGGGGATATACAAGATACAATTGCGTAGCAAACGATGGCAAATACGTCTATTCTATCATTACTTGGATCTCACAATGGCAAACGCATGGCTGCTTTATAAAAGAGTCTGTAAAGACAAAGGCCAGTCATGTCGTTTATCTTCAGCAGATTTTCGTCTAGATGTTGCAGTAACTTTTTGTAAATTGGGTGTAAAGCCTAGTATGTCTAGTCGTCGTTCGCTAGAGAACGAGATACAAGCAAAAAAACACAAAGGACCTGCACAGCATGCACCTCCTATGGCAGTACGGCAAGACCAGATTGGACACTGGCCTCAATGGTCTGACAAAAAAATCAGGTGCAAGTTCCCAAAGTGTACTGGACTTACTCACAATATATGCGAAAAATGCGGGGTTGCTCTATGCTATACCAAAACCAAGAATTGTTTCAGGAACTTCCACCTCTCATAACTTCCTCTTATATGCATAGTTTTTAAGCTTATAACCCAGTGTTGCTTCCAGGCAACACACCCTGTTTTTCTTTTTTCTTTGGAAAATAATTAAATAAATGAAAAACTATAAAACACGTATATTTTTATTTTGCTTCAATTACCCGTAAACAACAAAAAGTAAAATATCCATGTTCTTGAGTTATAGAGGGTTAAAGATTTTATATAATTTTGATTGCCAGACACATTTTACAATTTTTTACGTCAGCACAATACTAATTCTATAGAAAATAGTTACATTGGCCCTAAACATTATGAAACAAACTTTTAGTTTGATCGGCACTGTACTGGATCAACTCTGAGAACATACCTGCGTAAATTTCACACTGAGTGGCATGTGCTATGATATTGTTTTATTGATTGTGTGCATATAAGCTACAAAAACCAATGAGTTAGTTTAAATAGTCGCATTTACCCCAATATGGGGCTAATGCAACTTTTCGTAACCGCATGATTCTTTTAATAAGATTTTAATTAAATCCTATGATGCTGCTTTTGAAATTATTATATATAGAAAGTAATCTCATATAAATGCTTAATTATATTGATTTAATAGATTACCCCATAAAGTCAAATGTTTATTTTTGGTGAAGGTTCAAGTGGGTCCATGGCTTAGGCCCCCAGTGGTCGACGGTCCTTGCTAAACAAAGGTTATTTTTCCCATTAGAAGCATATTTCCTCATTCCCATCAGTCATTGCGCGCGCGCGCTGTTGTTCGGACGCGTCGGACCAACCATGGCTTCTAAGTTGTTGAAATGTTCGAGTTGTAACATTGTTATTAACGAGGTTCTGGCCTTTGTAAGTAATAAAATCGATGTAATGAACGAAGAGAGCATTAGCCAAATATGTGTGAGTGCATTTTCGAACGAGGATATCCAAAGTGCAAAGAATCTATTGTGCGAGTCCTTACCTACGGAGAAGCGTAAGAAGACAAGGAAGAGGGATGGGAAAAAGGTCCGGGAAATAGACGACATCATCTGCATGTTAAAGGAATCGGATCCGGAGATCTTACCGGTTTTTGTGGCCCGAGATCTACACAAACTACCACCTGTACTTTTCGATCATGTCGACGTTACCCGGATCTTAAAGGACTTGATGCGGATTCAGCAGGAGATGTTTCAAATGAAAGAACAATATGTGACTAAAGACAGCTTAGATGTGGTGAAATCTGACCTGGAAAGTCTAAAAAGAACATCAATTGTGAATAACTTTGGAAGTACCCCCCGGAATATAAATATAAAGAGAGGTGGTTTTTTACTGGATAGTCACGATGACTACTGCAGTGGACCTAGAGGACTTGCGTACGTAGGAGCAGAACATAATAATTCGTACAGGGAGTCTAGCGAAATACTAGCTGAGTCAAATTATCACAACACTCAATTTTTATCTGAAAGTGAGGGTATTCGGAAGAATTGTCGCGAGATTAATAACTTTTCGAATGAGAGCGATTGTCAGGATGCGGCGTTAGCGACCGGTGGCACGATGACTCATACGCAATCAGCTGCAATCGAAGTACCTTGCGAGGCGGGACACACGGCCGTTACGAATGTAAGCAATACCGCACAGGAAAAGAAGAAATCTATGGCTGACATTGTACGCGATGGTGAATGGAAAACACCAAAAGTGGACAAAGAATGGAACTTAGTACAAAATAAACGTTTAAGGAACCGGTTTGCTGCAAATCGAGGAAGGGCAATCTTACGCCCAGAAGCGAGTTTTAAAGCCGCAGACATAAGTATCCCTATATATATATATAACGTAGCGAAGGGAGTGCCGGTAGGTGATATAAAGAATTATATTGCAGGTAAAACTGATGTTTCTGTTCATTTGGAAAAAATGCAAATGAAACAGACTTAATCTTAAACCGAGCCGGCCCGTGAGCGTTGGAGGGGTAAATGATGCGGGTGATATTGCGAAGTTGTTTCGACAGCATTTTAGGGTTGAACCGTTTTTGAGGCCTGCACGATCTGGCCTGCCGTCGGTGTCCAGTGCTGGGACTACATCACATGATATTAATTTGAGATTCACTGCGAAGGATGTAAGTGCAGTTATAAAATCCTTCAAAAGAGGAAAGTCACCAGGACATGATGGCCTCAGCATTGAGCACCTGAGGTATGCCGGGGTACATTTGCCGAGGGTTTTGGCTTTGCTATTTAATCTTTGTATCAGCCACTCCTACCTGCCCGACGATCTCATGTTTACCATCGTTGTTCCTATTGTAAAAAATAAAACTGGTGACATCTCGGATGAGTCAAACTATAGGCCTATCTCGTTGGCAACGGTTATAGCAAAGGTGATGGACGGTCTGCTTGATAACCATCTAAATAGACATATAAACCTACATGATGGCCAGTTTGGTTTTCGGGCTGGTCTATCTACAGAAAGTGCTATCATGTGTCTCAAGCAAACCGTTCACTACTATACCGCACGGAGGACGCCTGTATACGCTTGTTTTCTGGATCTCTCACGGGCATTTGATATGGTCTCTTACGATCTATTGTGGGAAAAGATGCGACAAGACACTAGTTTGTGTCCTGAGGTTATATCAATATTCCAGTATTGGTATAACAATCAGAAAAATACTATTAGATGGGGTGATAGTACATCGAACGAGTACAGGTTGGAGTGCGGGAGGCAGGGGGGGCTGACCTCGCCTAAACTTTTTAACTTGTACATGGATCGCTTGATTGGAGAGCTGAGCAGCACAGGAGTTGGATGTCACATAGATGGCGTTTGCGTAAATAATATTAGTTATGCGGATGACATGGTGCTGCTCAGCCCATCAATCGGCGCGTTGCGAAGGCTGCTTCGTACGTGTGAAAGGTATGCGGGGGCTCATGGGCTCAGATACAACGTAAAGAAGAGTGAGGTTATGGTTTTTAAGGCATTAAAAAAGAATCTCTCAGACATACCACCTGTCTCACTCTATGGTACGCCTTTAAACCGAGTAGCACATTTCAAGTATCTGGGCCACTGGGTTACCGATGACCTGAAGGACGATATGGACATTGCGAGAGAACGTAGGGCGTTGTGTGTCCGCTGTAATATGTTGGCTCGAAGGTTCGCTCGTTGTACCCAAGAAGTGAAAGTAACACTATTTAGGGCATTCTGCCAAACATTTTACACATGCAGTTTGTGGGCTAAATACACGCAGGGGACGTACAACGCCCTCCGGGTTCAGTACAACAACGCGTTCAGGGTGTTGATGGGGCTGCCGCGTTACTGTAGTGCGAGTGGCATGTTCGCGGAGGCGCATGTGGATGGCTTCCATGCCATCATGCGTAAGCGCTGTGCATCGATGATGTCGCGAGTGCGCGGCAGCCCTAGCGGCATGCTGGCCGCGTGTGCCGGACGCTGGGATTCGGTGCTGATGGCGCACTGGATAGGCCTACACGTGAGAGCAAGTGCCTGACTTAATCACAAGTATATATGTATATCTATGTATCTTACTAACACTCGGCTAAGAATATTGTTACTAACTTATTACTCATTTATTTATTTGTATGTTATTATTGTCTCTGATTGTTGTGTGTATTTTTACTAACACTAGATTAAGAACATTGTTACTAACAAATATGGACTAAGTCTGAAATAAAATTGATTATTATTATTATTATTATATATTTATTATATTCCATATTAACCTTTTTTTTTTCTATCGCGATGGAAATCCTCATGGACTTCCCGCGTCGTGAGGACGACGAGGGGGCGTGCCGGACTCTTACCGGCTAAAACCACCGCGGTGTTCCTTCACTGCCTGTGACCGTGACCCGGGTTGCCCTTACGGAATCACCACATCCGGCAGGCTTCAATCTACCGCTATGTTTGCGGCAGGTCCCGCTACTTTAGCGGCCCTAGGAGGCTGCTTCCATTCTTCGAGTAGCGCGCGTGGAACACTACGCTACCGCCTACTCCCGCCTATATAGCGGACGTCTGACTCCCCTGGTCAGTCGCCCGCAGACCTCTCCTCTCATGGAGGTCGCAGATCGGCTGCCGCTTCACGGCGCTGACGACCGGCGCGTCTACGGCGAGAGGGGAGAGAACTTGACGCCTCTCTCTCCCTTTCAGCCGCTTCCTTTTCCAACATGACTTGTTCACAGAAGGAAGCGACTCCGTCCCATGCGCTCTCGCTGTCGACCATAGCTCGTACCACAGTCGATAGTGACAGGTTACTCCCGCCGAGTACTGCAAAGAGTTCACGACGCGGCTCTGCCCATGCAGTACACTCTTCGAGCGTATGCCGCGCCGTATGTCACCACCATGTCTTCTGTCGATCCACGCCTCCATGACGGGACTTACCGCCGCTATAATGGCGTGCCCTGCGCTAGGTTGCGCATGTTCCATATTAACCTTGCACCTGAATCATATGTTGCAAATGACATGTGACGAGTTTCTGAAAAAAACAGAAGTATTCTGCACATTTTATAAATTAAGTGATACTTTCCCAAATGTGATGTGGTATAATATGTGGGAAGAAAAAAATACGGACATTAATGCATTGAAGGAGATGGAACTGGTAGACGTAATCAAAATTTCGGAAATGCAATTTTATCCTAGTGTAAAAACCGCACTCGCTATTTTGCTTGCCCAGCCATGTACGACCTGTACAATAGAACGATCGTTTAGCACATTACGGCGGGCATCAAAACGTGGCTTCGCTCAACCATGAGCGAAAATCGTTTAAGCAGCCTGTGTATTCTAAGTGTGCACAGAACAAGGGTCTCAGAATCGAAAAATAAATTTTTAGAAGTGCTTAACAGGTTCTGCCAGAACACACGCCGTCTTCTCTTGAAGTAATATTACTCATACATATACTTACTTAAAACTTTAATTTATAAACACCGAGTATTCATAAATAAAACTATAAAATCTGTCCTGTGTGATTGTTTATTTTCTGTACCTGAAAATAGAAACCTCTCAAATTAAGAGATTAACAAGTTTGAGATTAACGGCTCAACGTACAAAAAATCGGAGGGCCCCCGCCCTCCCCTGGGGGATAGATTGACTGTTGCCCCACCCTGAGCCCAAAGCTGGCTACGGCCATGCTTAATGGAAAAATATTGTTGCACGCTGGATTTACGTATAATATTCATAGAAAAAATCAAAACTCTAGTGTGTGGGTGTTGGGCTCGCTGCCATTGCAGCGGTAAGACCCCTCTTTGAGGAGTGGCTTGAGAGACGCTACGGCGTCCTCACCTATCGCCTGACGCAGGTCCTCACCGGACATGGAAGTTTCGGGAGGTACCTGTGTCTGATGGGGTGGGAGGAAACGCCCGGGTGTCATCACTGCGAGGACCGCCCTGAGGACACGGTGGAACACACCGTAGCGGAATGCCCTGCGTGGGCTGAGCACCGCCGTGCCCTCAGGGAAGTGATCGGCGATGGCGACCTCTTGCGTCCGGGCCTAGTGCAGGCCATGATGCGGAGCGAGGGGGACTGGGATGCCGTCTCCTCCTTTTGCTAAGCAGTCATGCTAGCTAAAAGCTAGTCTCAAAGAGCCATCAGACCACCACAGATGGGGCCCAATAGGGCCGATGCCGATTCGGAGTCGCGGAGAACCTAACGGGTAATCGGGGCTCCGGCTTGACGTGCAGGAGAAGGAACGGGGTGGTTTTTAGTCAGTAAGAGTCTGACACTCCCTTCCGCCTCACCCAGGCGGGACCAGTCATTCGATGATTTTCCCCCCTTACAAAAAAAAAAGTGTGTGGGTGTGTGTGAATAAAAACATGGCCGGTGTGGTGGTGCATTTTAACACTGATAAATGAAAGTGACAACGTTCAAATGATAAAAGGACATAAGCCTGAGTGTCAGCCGAATTTATTAAAAAACGACATCAAAATTCTTACGAATGACTTAATAAGAAGTCACAACTAATTTTGGCTCCATTCAAAAAATGTATGAAACGAAAATTGAAAAATTACAGAGTGAAAAGTACAGTAATGAAATTTGAAGTGTAGGATAGCCATGCTTCGGCACGAATGAGCCGGCTCGACCGGAGTGATACCACGGCCTCACAGAAAACCGACGAGAAGCAACGCTTGCGTTGTGTTTCGTCGTGTGAGTGTGGTTACCGGTGGCCCAATTACTCTCCTTTTCTCCAATCTCCCCAATTCCTGAATACTCAACGATCTCCAAACTCCTAATCCCCAAAAGGCCGGTAACGCACTTGTAACGCGTCTGGTGTTCCAGGTGTCCATGAGCGACACCGATTGCTTACCATCAGGTGATACGTCTGCTCGTTTACCGGCTTATGTCATAAAAAAAAATCTACAACAATATTAAGAAGACTATGAAGAATCTACAGTATGAAGTAGATATAGTATTAAATAAGAATGGTAATTCTGAAGCACTGTATAATGCCGTGCTGGAAGTGGAACAAATGCCTTGTGCAAACATGTTACAGTCCTCTTATTTGGCATTGAGAATATGGTACGAGAAAAAATACTGCTTCTGCAAGAAGTATGTACCCAAAAACTGCAGCAGTTCCATGTGCCTAAAAAGCTCTATATTGGTACAAGAGAAAATTAAATTCAATTTTTGAACCATTTTTGAACCTCTCAAAAACATAGAAAAGGTAAATTATAATATTAGATTCCGTAATTTGGTTCTTGGTTTTTCGAATTCCCGGCCTTTAAAACAGTTATATGAGCCTGCTATCCCATATGCTCTTGTGAATGATCAAGTGTATACAGACATAAATCCTGAAAACCAGCTTTTCAAAAAAATGAAGTTGGATAAAATGATTATAGAAGAGGCAAATATCATTCAAAATGATACCATTGGCCATTGGCCAAACAGAATGTCCCGAATGGCATAAATATAGATAAATACGGCTAACAGCCAGTTACTTTCACATAATTTGTAATTTAAGGCCAACAACTATGGCAAAATATGCCAGAGAAATAATTAATAAAAAAGATTTTACGTCAAGAGCGCCAGTCATGGACTGTTAAATGAAAACGTTGCTTTAAGCAAGTCTGGTGCTGAATATGGTCATTTAATAGAGCCATGTGGTATATTTAAAGGTTGGGTAAGGCTGTGGCCTTACATCGTGGCTGCATCTCCTGATGGTTTACTGGGCACAGAAACAATTATAGAGATTAAATGTCCCTATGCTAGCAGGTAACAGACAATAAATCCTACTTATGTTCCTTACTTAGAACTTCTAAATGGGATATTAAAGTTAAAAAAATCAACACCATACCACTTTCAAGTCCAAGAACAATTGTATTGCTCAGGCAGATCATACTGCAATACGATTATATATACTTACAAAGATTTGAAAGTAGTATATGTAGAAAAAGATAACTATTTTATTAGTAGTATGGTGCAAAATTAGACTGTTATCACAACAACTATTTTATAAGTGCCTTGTTGGAAAAGCATATTTTATCATAATTATTGTGAAAGCTTCATAAAATAAAACTCTTAATTTTTATGTTAGTTATTTTTATTTACAATTCCTTCCCGAAAATTACAGAGCATTATGCATATAAACAATATTTTATATATAAAAATGGTTCAGTTCATTCCTTAATATTAAATATGTTTTGGTTACACCTATAAGCCTTTCAATATGAACCCTTTGGCTAGCCAATTTCTGGTCTAATTTAAACTGAAGGCCTGGAATTTGTGACTTGCTTTTTAAAATGTGAGGTATATTGATACCTATTCCTTTAGATGCAAACAGGTACTGCACTGCACATTGAAACCTCTGTCTGCCATAATACTATCCCCAGGTTCACATATCTGCAACAATGGATTGAGCTCAACTATCTGGCGGTCACTCACAGAATGAGCATATGCACTCAAACAGTATGTCATTAAACCCCCTGGTGTACCAACTACCAAGAATTTTAAAGTATTTTTATGTTGATAGGCGCTGAATGAGGCTTTCTGGTAATGATCCAATGGGGTGGACGAAGTTTATTAATATTTTTTCAGTTCCGTCTATTTTATTTTTTGCAAAACAGAATCATACAAGTGGTTGAACATGCTTTGGTGTAAAATACATTTTTTTTTCTTGTTATACTGAGTAACTAATATAAATTTCCTTACCCTTAATTTGATTTTGTTCACTGTGAGAAACATATGAGAAAAAAATGATTTCGTTGTATTTTTATACCAAATTCGTATTTTTTGTAATATTATCATACCGTATATAATATTTTTTATTAGTAAAAAAATAGTCTACGCCCCTGGCAACACTTTTACTTGTCATTGTCAAAGCAAAATGTCGGCGCCTCGCAGGTCGTCTATGTTCCGCAAGGTAAATATAAAGATTTTACTTAATTTTCTATTGTTTCAAGTATTTTAATGCTTTCACTAACTTATCTAGACTATTTGTTATATTTGGTGGTTTGGTGTGTGAATTTTGTGCCTTTATGTGAATCCTCAAGTTTTATGACCCACCAAAAGCTTATGTTTATTGTGATGAACATTGCCAAATAACCTTTAAAGTACCTACAATTTGTTATGTTCATCACGGTAAACGATGCCAAATACCTAATCATAAATTAATCCAAAATAGTTATGTCTTTTTATTAACGTTATGAAGTTATGGGTTTTATTTTGCTTATTTCGGTATTTTCTGTTGCCAACAGCATACTTTGCATGGACGCACGGCAAAAATATTGGCACTTGTGCCTATACAGCATGCTCCCTCAGATACCAGTGATAGGTCCGACATGGACAATGAATTGGCAGATCTGCATACTCCAAGTTTAGCTTCATCATCATCACCATCTCTAGATTCATCTTTAGAGCGAATGCATATTTTAAGCAGTCCTGAACCTGATACTGAAGATGACACTGGGAACGATCCACCTGAATTTGATTTTACAGAAACATCATTGCAATTACCTCCAGTTCTACGTCAAATTTGCCCAGCTACGCCGACTAGAGAACCGAACTACGAGAACATGCCTTCCTGTTTGCTGCAAGAAAATGAAAACAAATTTAGTATAGACGAGATGATGATTGCTTATAAAGGAAGAAAGGCAGGCAACAGAAAGCAGTACATGAAAGATAAACCCAACAAGTGGGGATTCAAATATTACGTGCGAGCTGGAGTAAGTGGCATGATTTATGACTTTATCCTATATGGAGGAGAAGATACATTCCGTTTTCATAAATTGACTGAACAAGAAATTTCAATTGGATTTGGGGCACAAATTGTAATGTCACTATGTTAGTCATGACCATGGTTTCTAACCAAAGCCGACGAATTTTCTTATCTTTTGGGACGTGATGTACTCCTATTTCCGAGCATTTCGATACGATACAACGAGTCATTTTAATAGAACAAATATTATGTTTTATTTTTAACGATGAGAAATGCAATGTTTTGGGGACTAGCTATAAAAGCGCCACTTTGACAGATGCCAACACCATTTTGCGAAATATAAAGTATTTTGACAAAATTATGAATCAAAACATGTTCATGTTTATTTCAAATTTAAGTAAAGTGGATAATGCCGTTTTTGATATTAAATGACTCAAATGATGGGCGTGGTTCTCAAGTACCAGTTAACAAAACTAGTTTAGATACTGAGCAGAAAGTCATTGACGACATCAACTCTTTTTCCCGGCTTGAATCTCACTACTGCAGGAAGAGAATTAAGAGACAGTACCTGGATAGTAAATTCACAATCGCCAAAATGTACGAAT